GCCAAAGTCTTCTGAATTTGAAATACAGAATATGGAGTCCAGGGAAGGGTGTGCAGTCCCCTGGTCATTGAATCTTTAGAGTGTGAGTCTAATTATGTATTGTGATGTAATCTATAATTTCTTTCTTTGCTGATTTGTAATTTTCAATATAGCAGTCCTTAATTGTTAGGTTGATTTTAATTAAATTTTTATTATGAATGCAACTAGTTTTCTAATTTAATTTTAAGCAATATTCTTGTGAGAATTCAGAGTTTCATACACCTGTTTTCATCATACTTAACTCACACACCCCAATTCCTCAAAGATCCTTATTTCCCTTCTTTACCCATGCACATTGTTTGTGTCCTTTTAGTTTTTTAACTCTCTTCAAGACCAATTTGTGCTACTCTAGTATTCTTTCTTTTGTCTTCTTCCATTGGACCATGATCACCTTCTCAAGGAATATATATACTCTTAGGGATAACTGTGTCTCTGTTTCGCAGACACTAGCTCTAGTGATATGTGTTGGTTCATGCTCCCCATTCCTATTTTCATGCTGGGATTTAGCATTTCTTAGGCTTACACAACTGCAATTGCTGTGACTTCCAATGTGCAGCTGCCTTGCTGTATTTAGAAGATGTTCCCTTGTAGTCATCCACCACATGGGCTTTTACAATTTTTTGCCCTCTCCTGCAATTATCTCTGAGCCTCGGAGAGTTTGGGTTGGTATACTTGTCTTCTTTACTACATAGCATCCTGTACTCTCTTATTCTGTTCATCTTAGCAATTGGTGTGTCATTTTGGCAATTGCCATCTACTGTAAATAGGAGCTTCTCAGATAATGTTTGAGAAATGCATTGATCTAAGGATATTGGGACAGTCATAAGGAGTTGGGTTTATATTGTGGGCATTTAGTAGGATAGTAGTAGTAAGTTCTCCCTGAGGAAATAAGGCCTCTCTAGCCATAGGAACTTGGCCCAATAATGGCATTAAACCTGGATTTCATCTTTGAAGAAGGATTTAAAGCCATTCGTAAAGTGGCATTTTACTCTCATATGATGTGCCACTATTGCTGAAGTGGACATGTCTTCCAGGACAGTCACTGCTATAGCTCACAAGGTTCACAGTTGTGTATGATTACTTTTCTTTTCCAGTAGCTCAGATAGGGCTTTTCAGCACTCTGAAAGCTAGATATAAGAATGGAGCTTTCAGATCAGTAAGTACAATGTTGGTTTTTTTAAATGCAACGTGGCTCAAACGTGATATTTTCAGTGATGTGGTATTTCCGTCAAGTTCTGGATGATATCCAATAACACTGGCAATAGCTTGTACTATTTCTCAGTCTAAGGGATCTCCCTGGACAATAATTTCAAAAGAGGAAATAGCTGAAAATATTCAATTATGTAAATATATCATGTTTTTATTATTCATTGGGTGGTGGACATCGAAGCTCTTTTACATGTCCAAGTTGTTGTAAACAGAGTATCAGTAAATGTAATCTACCACATAAGTAAAAGGACCAAACCATGTAATCGTCTCCTTGGATGCATAAAAGACCTTTGAGAAAATCCAACATCTATTCACATTCTGGAGAGAATAGGGATACAGGGAAAATATCTTAACTTAATAAAGGCAATATACCAGAATTCTAATGTCAATGCCACTGTAAGTTGAGAAACATGTTTAAAAGCATTTCCAGTAAAATTAGGAACAAGACAAGAATGTCCACTTTCCCTACAACTGTTAATATAATAACTGACATCTTAGAAAGAACAATATGAATGTAGAAGATAAAAAAGTTGAATCAGAAAAGGAGAATCAAAGAGTCTTTATTTACAGGTGATATGATTCAATTTAGAAAATACCTTAAAACCTCCACCACAAACATTATGGAGCTGATAATATAATCACAAAGTACCTGGCTGCAAAATAAACACACAAAATATACAGTCTCTTTGTGTACAAATGAAAAACAACAAAGAATGAAATCAAAGATAAAATACCATTCCTAATATTTCCAAAATATCATGGATAAATATAACCAAGAAAGTAAAAGACTATTACATGGGGCTGGGATGGGGTGGAGGGTATGGGAGGATGGGAGGGTGAGGGAACTGGGGATGATATGTAAAATAAGATGGTTTCTAATTTGAATATAAAGAAAATATGAATATAATAAAAACAGATACCAGAAGACAGAAAAACCTCTCATGTTTATGGGTTGGTAGAACTAATATTAAGATAATAAATATCATATCAAAAGTAAACAATAGATTCAATAAAGTTTTCATTTCATTTCAATGCAATTCTTTATAGAAATTGAACAAAGGATTATATTTTGGTATATTAAACTATACTTTGATTTCCAGTTCTTAGTAAACTTTGTCACGAAGCCATGTTGAATTTTTGAACCTGCCAAAATAATCATGTAAATTTTGTTTGTCTTCTATCTATCTATCTATCTATCTATCTATCTATCTATCTATCTATCATCTAAAAATCTATGTATACACGTGGAAACCTGTGCTTGTGCTCATGTGCATGTTTGTATGTGTGCATACATGTGAATTCTGTAACAAGATTAAACAAAATTACCATTTTTTTAAGATTAAACAATCCCTGTATTCTTAGTATGAGAACAATTTAATCATGGGATAAGATCATTTTAGTGCTGACCTTTATTTAAAATTCTGTTATCAATAATTTTGGTGTCAATGATCTTTGAGGAAATTTCTCTGTAACTTTCATTTTCTTAGTTATGGCATCATCATTTTTGGTGCCAGAATAATATTGACTTCATAGAATAAATATAGGAGTGTGTATTTCTTTCCACTTCCACTTGTTTGTTTAATCTACTTTGAGACATTCTGGCATTAGTTATTTTTATATTAATTAAAATTAAAATATAATTAATCATTATCCCCTCCTTTTCTCTTTCTAATCCCATGTACCACTTACTTCCTTCTTCTCAAAATCATGGCCACTTTTTATGTAGTTGTCATAGTTATGCAACAC